GAGGTGGCTGGCACCCCCCAGGCACCTCGCTGGGGGTACTTTCTCCTGTCGATCTTCTCAACAGCCCTGAGACCTCAGAGGTGGGGTGGGGCCTGACTCTAAATGCTCTGCGCTTTGCAGTGAAGAAAGAGCTTTCCTGGGCCCGACATGCTCTGTTTTGGGGGCTGGCCAGGCAGGAATGTAGATGATGGAGGTGGAGTGGGTGTGGGCGATAGGGTGTGGTGTGGGGAGTGGGACAGACCAGCTGGAGAGGCTGAGCCAGCCTCTCATCACCCGAGGGAGCATGGCCCAGGCAGCGGGGTCTTCAGACTTTTGAGCTTGCAAGTTGGATATACAGTATACTGCATTTCTTAATTTGAAATTATGGGATCCAATTAAAAAATGTAAAATCAGCATCACCTGCGGAAAAAGCAAACCATAGTTCCCAGCAGATCAGGCCTTTGAGGCCCCAGTTTTCATCCCCCGCCCTGTTTCTGGGTGTCTGCGTAGAACTAGGTGTTGCAGTTACCCTGACAAGGTGTTTACGGAGGGCTTCAGACCCTCCCTGAGTCCTGCTCCTCCGGCAGTGGTCGCCCAGTCACGTGCCAGGCTCCGCGTGTTCTGGCGTCTGGTCCAAGGCACGCGGACGGCAGCCAGGGCTTCAGAGCCGAGGCTGGCTCTGCGATCTTCCACCTCCTCCACCCGGGACTTAGGGTCTCAGCATCTCGGCCGAGGGGCAAGGATGGGCACATGAAACCAGACGGCCTAGGTTCCTTTCCCAGCACAGGGAGGTGGTGAGGGGGGAGTGAGTGACAGTCTCAGGAACCACCATCTAAACCATAAAGCACTTCCCCACGTGAGGGGTGATGGGTGCGCACAGGCAGGAGGTACAGCAGGAAGGACACGGCTCCCCCCGAGAGGCCAGGGCTCACTCCTCACGGTCACGTGACCCTGATTGTTTCAGCCTCATTTCCCCTCCCTCTCTCCCTCCCTGCTGAATGGAGGCTGGAGGCTTCAGGCAGTGCCGCCTGCTCTGCAGGGGCTGGTGCATGTCCCCGGCCCCTGGCCCCGGGGGATAACTCGGGTGCGCCCCTCTGCTCCTACAGGAAACACGTTCAGCACCCTGGCCGGGCTGGTCTTTGACTGGATGATCGTGAAGGACACAGAGGCCGACGGGTACTCGGACACCCACAACGCGCTCCGGTAAGAGGCGCCTGCCTTGGAAGGGAGGCGGGAAGGGGGTTGTCGCCTGGCTCCACGTGGGCTGGGGGCTTCCATCATCATCATCCCCCTCGGCTCACACAGTTGTGCAGGAACCTTGCTGCCTGTGCAGCCCACGGGGGTGTGTTCTGTGGGACATCGTCGAGGAGGCTGGGCTGTCCAGCTGCCGAAGAGAAAGCTTGTTGCAGACAATGGGAGCTGTCCCGGGGTGCAGGCAAGGGGTGGGGTGCGGCCCCGCTGGGGGTGAGCTAACAGGGAGACAGTTCCGGCTGGGGTGACCTCCCTGCAGTGACCTCTTCCAGGCTCAGGAGGCTGCCTTCCCCGGCACGGGGGTGGAGGTGGGCCTGCAGGCGGACTCCTTGTGAGACGGACTCATTACCCATCTTGACTCAGCCAGTCCCCCCAACAGCCGTGTGGCTTCCGTACCACTGTCCACGTGCCTTAGGTTGGTAAGGGGCGGGGCTACAACTTGAACTCAGATGTGTATAGGTTCTCACAGTGCAGTGTGGTAGGCGTGAACCCTATCCTGGCTGTTTCAATTTAAACTAGGTACAGTGGAAAATTCAGATCCTTGATGCACTGGCCACATGTCAAGGGCTCGTTAGCTGTGTGGCTGGTGTTACCACACACTGGACAGGGCAGACGTGGAGCATTTCCATCACAGAAGGTTCTGCTGGCCGGTGCCGGTGCAGATCCCCTGCTATGCTGCGTTGCCTCGTGCTGTATTATAAAAATGTTAGAGTATAGTTCCTTTTGGGGGAGGAAGGCTTATTTTTTTAAAGACTTTGCAGCAGTTTTTACCCTACAGAAAAGTTGCAAGTGTAGTACAGAAAGTGGATTCCCCGAACCATCTGAGAGCAAGCTGCCACCCTGGTGCCCGTAACCCCCAATTATTTTAATGTGCATTTACTACCTCTGAGGACGTTTTCCTGCACGTTGACAAGACGGTCATCACAATTAGGGAATTAACACTGATGCCCACAGTCACAAGACCTTGTTCAAGTTTTGCCAGTTTATCCCAATTGCATCCTTTGTAGCAGAACATGCCCGCCCAGGGTCACCTGCCGCATGCCGTCCTGTCTCTCCTAGTCTCCGTCAGCGTGGAAGAGTTTCTCGGTCGTTCTTCGAATTTTGGGACGTTGCACTCATGAAGGCTGTAGTCCAGTTATCTTACAGACCCTCCCCCATTCCGGGTTTATCTGACGTTCCTCCTGATTAGACCCAGAGTTCTGCATCTTTGCAGGAACATCACAGAGGCGAGATTCCGTATTCTCGTTGCATCGTATGGTGATTTTGTTGGTCCATCAGTGATTTTGTTCGCTGTCATCACTTGGGTAGGGTGGGGTCTGCCAGGTGCCCTGCTCTGAAGTCACTTTCTTACTCCCTTGCAATTGATAAGTATTTTGTGGGGAGTTACAAGTCTGGCCTTTTGTTTACACCTTCAAAAGTCCAGCTCAGGGTTCCAGGACACAACCAGGCTCAGCTCACGGCCATTTCCACGGTGGGCACCCTCATGCCCTGATGCTGTGCAAGCCAGGTTGCCCTCTTGGGTCAGAGCTCTTTGGGGGCTGGGCTGTCAGCCTCTGTCTCTGGTTGAGCTCTGGAATTTCTGGGGTCTCAGTAAGCCAGGAATGTGGGCTTTAGGTCCAAGAGACCTGCATTCCGGTCCTGGCCTTGTGATGTCCTGCCTGTGGCCGTCATCAAGGACTGTGACCACCTGAGCACCAGCTTCCTCCTGCAGCAGATGGCGGTGTCACTGTTTCCACCTCTGAGGGTGGCAGGGTGGGCGAGCACGTTGACAGGGGTGAGAGCCCCTCTCTGGGCCCGGCACATACTAGATGTTCAGGGGATGCTGGTTGCCTGCCCCGCTTTGTGCCACCAAGCTTGTTTCCTGCCCTGACGGCCCCCGGAGCTTCCAAGCACCTGGCATGTAAGTCGAATGCTGACAGAAGTCCAAGGTGCTAAGGGGTGCTGGAACCAGAGTGTCCTGGGTTTTCATTAAATTCAGTGTGTGACACCTCGTAAAACTGGGCAAGGAAATAAATCACTGCGTAGTATAGCGCCCGGCAGATCCTGGGGAGAATGAAAGCGTGTCCGACTGACTGTTCGCATTCGGGTGGAACTGGAGGGCTTATCTGTAAATCGCAGGCTGCCAGGGAGAGACTCAGGCTGCCCGCTTACCAGCCTATGCTCTGGGGATTCCACCACATCCTGAATTCTCCCTCCCTTCTCCCCACAGCCTAACCCCAGGGAAGGTAGGATTCGATGTGATTCCCCATTCCTAACACTGGAGGGCGTGGTCGTTGAACCATTTCCCAGATGCAGGAGCTGGCCAAGAAAGGGGGCTGGGACTCCTGGGAAGCCCTGAAGGGCCCTGGCTGGGCCTGTGGTCCTGGGCCTGTTCTCAGCTTCCGTGAGCCTCACCTTTCACGTCTGAGACCAAAACATTTTGACTAAGCGGGCGGTCTTCAAATTTCAGTGCCTGCCTTTTATCATAATCACGTTGGGATTTTTATAAAATGCAGATCCCCAGGCTTCTTGCAGACCAAGGGCCGGGCCGGGGCCGAGAATCTGCATGTTTCACAGGGACGTTGACAGTTCTGAGGTAGGACATTCCAGGGATAGGTTTCTAGGCAGCACCGACTAGGTCAGCACCACTTACATGGGGTCTGGCATCACGCACAGGAGCTTCGGAGAGAGTGAGTGTGTGAGGTTCCCGGGTTCCACGCATCAGGTCTGACCGCACGTTCCTTTTCCAGCATCCTGACTTTTTTGGAGTCCACGTACATCCCTCCCTCCTACATCTCAGAGATGGAGAAGGCGGCCAAGCAGGGGGACACCGTCCTGGTGTCCGGGATGAAGACGGGGAGCTCTAAGCTGAAGGCACGCATCCAGGAGGCCGTGTACCAGGTGGGCGCGGGCGGGCACCTGCACTCCGGGGCGGGATCTGGACCACCGGTTCCCTCACATATTTAGTAGCAGAGAGGAGATGCCCTACCGGGAACGGTGTCTGGTGTGAGCCGCGGCTTAGGAACAGGTGGCCGGGGCACCAGAGCCACCACCTCTTCAGTCACAAGGCATCTTCTCGCCTCAATTTCCAGGGAGGTCCGGGAGCAGTGGGGTTGGCATCAACTAGCTTATCTTCAGTGAGCTCCCCTGTCCTGCTGTAGAGACACATCCGAGCCTTTGGAACACCCAGGGTCCGCCAGCCATTTCACCCTGTGCCCCACCTTCAGCCCTGACACTGGTTGCCTGGTCCCACGTGTGGAGGGCTCGGAGTCCGGACCCCCCGACCCCGTCCCCCCATCGTCTGGCCTCACCAGCACCTGCTTCTCCATCAAAGACCCATTTTGGGAGTGGAGGTGGGGCAGGGGCAGAAAGGACAGCGAGAAGTGGGTTTAGCCAAGGCCTGGTTCCTTCCTGGTTCTTGTGGGCTCAGGTCTGCCCTGCCTGGGCCTCCTTTTGAGCTGCAGATCTGGCATCTTCCTCTTGTTTGCCTGGTTCCTGCAGCCCAAGCGGGAAGTTTGCGGTACATCTGCTGATTAATTTCTAAAGTGACAGATGAGAATTCACTCTCTTCAGCGGTTTAGCCGTAGTTTGGGAATCCTGGAGGGTTTTGGAAACGTGAGGCAGCCACGTTCGGCACAGTCTTGCAGCGTGCCTGGGATTGCAGTTAGTATTTGGGGAGTTTGTGTCCTTGTGTCCTGGGCCCCATGGGGGCACAGGACTGGGCTGGGACCGGGCCCCCACTGAGCTGCAAAGGCGGCCTTGTCCTGCCTGTGGAAGGCATCCACCTCAGAGCCCGGCCCAAGGTGGGTGCTCTGTGTGGTTGTTTTTTCTTTTTAATGTATCAAAGATATTATTTAACTTGTTGGTTTTTCCTGTTGAGGTATAGCTGACATACAACATTATAGTAGTTTCAGGTGTACAACATAATGATTCGATATTTGTATGTACTGCAAAATGATCATAATAAGTCTAGTTAACATTTGTCACTATATGTAGTTACAGAGTATATTTTTCTTGCGATAGCAACTTCTAAGATCTATGCTGTGAGCAGCTTCCAGATATGCAGTACAGTATTGTTAATTATAGGCCCCATGCTATCCAGGGCATCCCAGAGCTCATTTATCTTAACTGGAAGTTGGTACTTCTTGACCCTCTTCCACCCGCTTTTTGCCATCCACCAATCTGTTCTCTGTGTCTGTGAGCTTGGGTGTTTTGCTGTGTTTTTTAGATTCCACATGTAAGTGAGACCATATGTTATTTGTCTTTCTCTGTCCCGAAGGGGAGGGTGTCAGTCAGCACCTGGATTCAGATCCAGACTGGTTAGAAGCCAGACCCTCAGACAACAGCTTTTTTTTTTTTTCTAATTAATTATTTTTTTTTAGATTTTAATGTATTATTTATTTATTTATTTTGGGGCCGCTGTCGGGTCTTAGTTGCAGCACACAGGCTTCTCTCTCGTTGTGGCGTGCGGGTTTTCTCTTCTCTGGTTGTGGCTCGTGGGTTCCAGAGCACGTGGGCTCTGTACTTTGGGCACACAGGCTCTCTAGTTCAGGCACACGGGCTTAGTTGCCCTGCGGCATGTGGGATCTTAGTTCCCTGACCAGGGATCGAACCCACGTCCCCTGCGTTGGAAGGCGGATTCTTTACCACTGGACCACCAGGGAAGTCCCCAGACAACAGCTTTTAAAGGACACGCATATGTACAGTCCTCTGGGGTTGCGAGCAGAGCCTCCCTGGCCCCCAGAGCCAGGGGATCTGGAGGTGTTTCCTGGGCGGCAGTCACAAGAATCGGGGCTCCAGACAAGGGTGCGGGCTCCTTTCTGGGAGATGCCATGAGCTGTAGTGAGGCAATGGGGGTACAAAGATAATGTCCCCAGCCTACGTTCCCCGAGAGCCCCTCTGTAGACCCTACATGTGACAACCCTGAAGCCTGCCCTCCAGGCCAAAGCCTCTTTCCAGCAGGTAGGCCTCTTCCACCTAATGGCTGGGGGGGTGTCAGTCAGCTGTGTGTGCAGTGTCGCGGGTCGTAGCCCAAGCACTGTCTCTGATTGACGGTCCTGTGGGGCCCAAGGGCCCCCAGGGCCAGGTGATCCAGGGGCATCCCCTGGGCGGCAGCCGCAAAACCCAGGGCACCAGGTGTAAGAGCTGGGGTCCTAGACACGTATAAGAGCCCCCCTCCTAGAGATGCCGGTGCTCTGGAGTGGGGCAGAGGGAGGGCATTGAACGTATGTCCCTCCAACCCCCAAGGCCTCAGGAAGGGTTTACTGTCAGCCCTTAGATATTGTTTAATTAGAAGCCGCCCCTCAGGTGCAGCCGTGATGATTAGCTAATGGGCCTCTTTCCAGAAAGATCGGGTTTCTCTGCTGTGCCCTGGGGCTGGTAGCTGATTAAGAACTCTTCCTCCGTTGGTTCCAGTCCTGCGGGACCCAAGAGCCCACGGCTGGGCACCGGAGATGGGCATGGAGACACGTTCTCTGGCAGCAGCTGCCAGAGTCAGAGGGGGGTATATACTCCTTTCTGTAAGAAACAGGTGCGCTCAAGTGAGGAGAGGGGCTGTGACGGTGCCCTCCCCGCCCCCCGTTCCTGAGAGCCCTCTGTGGGCCCCTCTGCGCAGGCAGATAAGCTTCTTTCTCAGAAAGCCCAGCGTGTGTCGGTCTGCTATCTGTGCAGTGCCCTAGGGGTGGTGTCCCGCCAAGAATAGTCTCTCCAATCGTCAGGGTCCTGTGGGACGCAGGAGTACGGCCCCCAGCACCGGCCTTTGGGGCTTTTGTGGGTGGAGCCCCTGGGCCCCTAGTGGCCTCTGTATCCATAGCCATCACTCCTGGCTCGGTATACTTTGGCAGTGACGTCTAAATGGCTGCCTGCTGTACCACAGGGCTCCCCTGGGGTTCTGGGGTGTCCAGAGGTGCTGCCTTGTGTTCTCACCCTAATCTCCCTGTGCCCACGTGAACAGACTGAAAAGTTCTAAAGACACTTTCTCTTGCTCACCCTGACCCCTACTCCGGGCTCACCTCACCTTTTCTGTCTTCCTCATGCTAAGAACGTCCGCCCCGCGGAGGTCAGGCTGCTGATTTTGGAGAACATCCTTCTGAACCCAGCTTATGACGTCTACCTCATGGTGGGGACATCCATCCGCTACAAGGTGCAGAAGATAAGGCAAGGAAAGATTACAGGTGGGTCACCAGCTCAGCTCGGTACTCATGGCAACGTGAGTTTTTTTTATCGTGGTGAAATAGGCATAACCTAAAATATACCATTTTCACTATTTTTAAGTGTTAATTTTAGTGACGTTGATTACATTCACATTTTGTGCAACCATCACCACCATCTATTGCCAGAATTTTCTCACGTTCCCAGACTGAAACCCTGTGCCCATCAAACACTGAACTCCCCATCCCCCTTCCCCAGACCCTGACAACCACCCCTGTACTTTCTGTTCCTATGAATCTGACTGTTCTCGGGACCTCGTATAAGTGGAATCATGTCGTATTTGTCCTTCTGTGTCTGGCTTATTTCACTGAGCTGAATGTCCTCAAGGTTCATCCATGTTGTAGCAGGTGTCAGAATCTCCTTCCTTTTCATGGCCAAATAACATTCCATTGTCTGTATAGACCACGTTTTAGACACTCAGCCATTGATGGACGCTCGCTTTGCTTCCACCTCTTGGCTGTTGTAAATAGTGCTGCTATGAACATAGGTGTACAAATATCTCTTGGAGACCCTGCTTTCCATCTTTTTGGGTTTATATCCCTTTGTTTTAAGAATGTCCGAAGCCATGAGCTTCACTTTGGACTGGGTTTTGCCAGTGGGTCTGCCACTGACTGCTGGGCAGCCTTGGCAAGACACCGCTCCCTTTTGGGCCTCAGTTTCTCTCTCTCTCTTTTTTTTTTTTAAAAAAATATTTATTTATTTACTTATTTTTGGCTGTGTTGGGTCTTCGTTTCTGTGCGTGGGCTTTCTCGAGTTGCGGCAAGCTGGGGCCACTCTTCATCGCAGTGCGCGGGCCTCTCACCTTCGCGGCCTCTATTGCTGCGGAGCACAGGCTCCAGACGCGCAGGCTCAGCAGTTGTGGCTCACGGGCCCAGCTGCTCCGCAGCATGTGGGATCCTCCCAGACCAGGGCTCGAACCCACGTCCCCTGCATTGGCAGGAGGATTCTCAACCGCTGCGCCACCAGGGAAGCCCTCTCTTGGAGCCCTCAAAGCCTTTCTGCCTGTGCTGAGGGCGGAATGAATTAATGGACGTGGATTTTTTCTGGAAATTCTCAAGTGCCGTGTACATGTGATGCATTTTCAGTGGTGAGTGTTCTTTTTTTTTTTTTTTTTGCGGTACGTGGGCCTCTCACTGTTGTGGCCTCTTCCGTTGCGGAGCACAGGCTCCAGAGGCACAGGCTCAGCGGCCATGGCTCACGGGCCCAGCCGCTCCACGGCATGTGGGATCTTCCCAGACCGGGGCAGGAACCCGTGTCCCCTGCATCGGCAGGCGGACTCCCAACCACTGCGCCATCAGGGAAGCCCAGTGGTGAGTGTTCTTAATGCAGCCCCAAGCCTCCTAAGAATTGCTGTCGTTATCACCTTTTTGTTTAGTTTACACACATTTCTTGGTCAGAGCACAGATCATCTAGTATCTCGGGTACAAGAGTGTCCCATTCTAGGCCCGAGCGCTTGGACGCATGTCTGGGCGGGTGCTTCCCCCAGGTTGCTGGCTGCTCTGTCTGTGATACAGGGCATCAGTTAAGAAGCGTGTCAATGCTTCAGCATCCGAGCAGCCTGGGCGTGGTCCATAGTTGGGTCTGAAAGTCTGAGGGCAGTGGGTCTGGTCAGTCATTACTGTGTGGCAGGGCGCTGCAGCCCTGGGGAGGCCTCAGAGCCGAGGACAGGACCCTCCTGCCCCGAGGCCCGGTTCTCTCCCACACGGGGTGCCCTGCTGAAGGGCAGTAGACTGGGGGGTCCCAAGCATCTCCGTGTGCTCGGCATGCAACGTCCAGCTCTTTAGCACCTGTCACCATGCAGGCGGGTTGTGTACGAAGCTGGGCTGGGGGTCCTGGCCAGAGCCTGGCCTGCACCTCAGACTTTAGGGAAGCAGAGTCTAAAAGCAAAGGGACAGACCTGGGTGTGGCTTTCTGAGACTCTTAAAGGGCAGATGGCTCAGCGGTGGAGTTCTCAGGACCCTGCCCCTGCATCCTCAGGGGGAACGCAGTGGAGACAAGTTGAAAGGCCAGAGGGCACCCACAGGGGCTTCTCAGAAATACCTTCTCCACCAGAGCACTGTCTCGAACACATTGTGGCCTGATGGAGACAGTCTGGAACATCTGACCGTCATGAGAATTTCCTAGGTGTTGTGCTTTTCACATTATGACCCAACAACTCTGTGCGGTGGGTTGCATTAATACCCTGTTTTACGGACGAAGAAACCGAGGCACAGAATGCCTGACAGTCACAAAGCTGTCGGGTCCTTGGCCTTAATCAGTCCTGCAGGGTCGAGTGGTGCTGGGCCCCAGAGGAGCACAGCAAGGGCTTTCTGTTCTCCCAGGGCAGGGCGGGTGGCCCCTTTGTGAGGGCAGATGAGGGCGGGGAGCTGTGCCCCCACCAGGGAGGTTAGAGGGGATTTAGTAAAGAGGGATTCAGAGCTTACCCTTTGGTGCATGGCCCAGATGGACAGCACATCCCAAGACACCCAGAGAACTTTGGGGTTTGCTCACTGACCTACGGTAGAAGTCAAAGAATGGGGCACGCTGGGCTTCCCTGATGGCGCAGTGGTTGAGAGTTCGCCTGCCGATGCAGGGGACACGGGTATCTCGGGTACAAGAGTGTCCCATTCTAGGCCCGAGCGCTTGGACGCATGTCTGGGCGGGTGCTTCCCCCAGGTTGCTGGCTGCTCTGTCTGTGATACAGGGCATCAGTTAAGAAGCGTGTCAATGCTTCAGCATCCGAGCAGCCTGGGCGTGGTCCATAGTTGGGTCTGAAAGTCTGAGGGCAGTGGGTCTGGTCAGTCATTACTGTGTGGCAGGGCGCTGCAGCCCTGGGGAGGCCTCAGAGCCGAGGACAGGACCCTCCTGCCCCGAGGCCCGGTTCTCTCCCACACGGGGTGCCCTGCTGAAGGGCAGTAGACTGGGGGGTCCCAAGCATCTCCGTGTGCTCGGCATGCAACGTCCAGCTCTTTAGCACCTGTCACCATGCAGGCGGGTTGTGTACGAAGCTGGGCTGGGGGTCCTGGCCAGAGCCTGGCCTGCACCTCAGACTTTAGGGAAGCAGAGTCTAAAAGCAAAGGGACAGACCTGGGTGTGGCTTTCTGAGACTCTTAAAGGGCAGATGGCTCAGCGGTGGAGTTCTCAGGACCCTGCCCCTGCATCCTCAGGGGGAACGCAGTGGAGACAAGTTGAAAGGCCAGAGGGCACCCACAGGGGCTTCTCAGAAATACCTTCTCCACCAGAGCACTGTCTCGAACACATTGTGGCCTGATGGAGACAGTCTGGAACATCTGACCGTCATGAGAATTTCCTAGGTGTTGTGCTTTTCACATTATGACCCAACAACTCTGTGCGGTGGGTTGCATTAATACCCTGTTTTACGGACGAAGAAACCGAGGCACAGAATGCCTGACAGTCACAAAGCTGTCGGGTCCTTGGCCTTAATCAGTCCTGCAGGGTCGAGTGGTGCTGGGCCCCAGAGGAGCACAGCAAGGGCTTTCTGTTCTCCCAGGGCAGGGCGGGTGGCCCCTTTGTGAGGGCAGATGAGGGCGGGGAGCTGTGCCCCCACCAGGGAGGTTAGAGGGGATTTAGTAAAGAGGGATTCAGAGCTTACCCTTTGGTGCATGGCCCAGATGGACAGCACATCCCAAGACACCCAGAGAACTTTGGGGTTTGCTCACTGACCTACGGTAGAAGTCAAAGAATGGGGCACGCTGGGCTTCCCTGATGGCGCAGTGGTTGAGAGTTCGCCTGCCGATGCAGGGGACACGGGTTAGTGCCCCGGTCCGGGAAGATCCCACATGCCGCGGAGCGGCTGGGCCCGTGAGCCATGGCCGCTGAGCCTGCGCGTCCGGAGCCTGTGCTCAGCAATGGGAGAGGCCACAACAGTGAGAGACCCGTGTAGTGCAAAAAAAAAAAAAAAAAAATTAAAGAATGGGGCACATGAAAGATACCCCCGGACAGGAAGTAAAGCTGCCTCTCTTGCATCTGTTTGGTAATGAGATGGAAAACGCCTCCAGAAATAAACACACCTACGTGACTCACGCTAACGGGCGCCACAGGGCTGGAGTGGATTCCAGACAGATGCTCTAGGGGAACAGATGGGGGAGGAGCCTGCAAAGGTCCACCGAGAACAAGACATCGGGTGGAAGCTCACTGTCCCTTTGTTTTCATGGGTTGTGTTGTTTTGTTTTGTTTTTTAATTGAGATACAATTCACATCGCTGTCATTTTTAACTGGCTGCTAGACAGGAAAGTCAGGGCATGACATCATTACAGGGAACATGAATTTTGGCAAGCCCCTGTCTTGCACGGCATCCCGCAGAAGGTTCAGAGAATTACAGGTGAGAGGGCAGTTACCCCAAATTAGTTCTTCGTATTTTCTTTCAGCCTTTCTTCCTTAAACATGTAATGTTCCTTCTTGCCTTCCATATTTTTGTTTCCCGATGTCTGCCTGCCTTCCGTTAAGTAGTGGCTTCCTTTCTCGCAGGTCCCTTTACGGAGCCCCTACGCTGTACTGCAGGCACTGCTGGGGGGCTGCAGTGGTCAGGGGGCTGCCCGGGTTCCTCCCCCCTGGAGCTCCAGTGATGACCTGCAGACACCCCCGCCAGTGGGGCAGGCGAGGGAAGAGAGGGGCCTGGAGGAGGGGTGTCTGTGAGGCCATGGGCAGCGTTCCCAGCACGGAGAGGGGGCACAGCCTTCTCCCCTTGCTGCTCGGTGCCTGGTGCTGGTGCTGTAGATGTGCCCGGCCCAGTAACCAACCTATTAGACAGAACAAGATGTGGGGAGGACGAGCTGGCTGAGGGAGTCAATGTCTGAAAAGAACTCGGGTGACAGGAATGCTGGAAATTACTGGGATAAATTGTGCTGAGGTTGGAAAAAGGACGGGTGTGGGACAGGGGTTCCTGCGTCCAAGACTCAGCTGGTAAAGGACCCATCGCACCCTGAGCCATGGCCTCCCAGAGCGAGTGCGTGCTGGGCTGCCTGATGGGCTGGGCTCGGAGGCAGGGCAGTGGGCTCCTTGTCATTCTGGGCTCGGACCCACCGCCCCCGGAGCTCCATGGTCCTCCCCGGACCCTGCATGGGGTGGGAGTGGGGGGTTCTGACAATCAGAAGCACATCTGGGGGGTCAGCCAGGGTAGGGAGGGGTCAGAGACCGGGTCTCCTAGGAGAACGTGGGCCTCCTGGCCACGGAAGGGCAGCCTACAGGATGACCCGTCACCCTCAGCGGGTGATAGCAGGGCTGGATTGGGGCCCCAGGAGCCCTTGGGGACTTATTGGAGCACACAACAGATACCCTGGGACAAGAGGTGGGCAAGTTGCCCCCCTTTCAGAATTCCTGGGAGTTTTGAAGGATGTTCTAGCTGAAACTCCTCCAGGATCCTTGTCCTGGGTGCCTCCCATGGCAGCCCCTGCCTGGGACCCCAGTGGTGAGCAGGGAAGCTGTCTGTGGTCCCTGCATCCTGTCCCTCTCTCATGCAAGAGGGCTGGAACGGGGCCACATACGCAGGCACAGTGAGTGGGTTATTTGGAAACCCCCAAAGGACCCCTGGGTCCAGTGAGCCGCACCCTGGGCCCCTCAATGCAGAAGCAGAGTTCCCTTGCTTCCGTGATGAACAGGAAAGGGTCTGATGTTGGTATCCTGCCAGCATCTGGCAGTTTGAGTCACAGGCTGTGCTTAATTTTAGAAAAGAAAGCTGCTCATGGCATCCACAAAAAAGTGATTGCCTCTGAAAATTCATGGAGAGTGTCAGGTTTGTCCACAGGCGTGGAGAATATTATTAAAATTTAAAGCACTGAAAAAAAATTAAGCGAAGAAATCAAGCAGCTGTACTGACAGCAGGGTCCAGGGATTGGGGAGGGGGAAGGAGGTGACATTGACTTTTAACATTTCCTGTTTTTGCTCTCTCTCCCCTCTTTGCTCTTCTTTGTTTCTGGGCGGCCAGAGCTCTCGATGCCCTCCGATCAGTACCAGCTACAGCTTCAGAACAACGTCTGGGGCCCCGAGGGAGACCCGGGCCGGCCTGTGGCGGTCTTGGCCCAGGACACATCGTTGGTCACCGCAGTGCAGCTGGGACAGAGCAACCTGGTCCTCGGCCACAGGAGTATCCTTTTCCCGGGCAGCGCGCATGCATCTGCGTGTCTTGCACAGGAGATGTGCTGTTTGGAAGTCAAGTCACTTTTCTCCCTGAAAGCTTGGCGAGGCTAAAAATAGCCCCGTTTTCCCTCAAGGTCTGAACATCAGAAAGGACCAAAATCCCACCCGAGCTGAGTGGAATCGCTCACCTCTGGGGAGACTTGCTGGAGAGGTTCTGAGGTGAGGGGTGGTGGCCGGAGAGGAGCCCCAACCCTGCCTCTGGAACGTCCTCTGGTCTCATCTGAGGGGCCTGGCCGAGGCTGTTTCCACACCAGCATGTGGGTTGTCACATGTCCCCAGCTTGTTCGCATGCCCCGGGTGGTCTCCAGGGTCCTTGCAGAGGGCCCCCTTTTGGAGTGGACGAGGCGCCCTGTGGCCGCTGATTCTGGAAGCGGCCTGTGCTGTGCATGGCCTCAGGCCGGGACCTTCCCATCCCCTGCTCTCCCCACGTGATGTTGATGATAACGAAGCCATGGGAGCCAAGCGGACGCCTGCCAGCTGGTTTGTTTGTTCCTTAATTCAGAATCCAGGTATTCGCATGCAGGGCGCTTCCCGGTTACCCAATAGCACCATCTACGTGGTGGAACCCGGGTACCTGGGTGAGTGTGGGCATCCTGGGTTGTTTGTGATCACAGGAGTTAAAAAGTCAAATAAAAGTAACAGCCCCCCAGGAAATGCTTCACTCTGGCCAGCTCTGCCAGCGGGGAGGCCGGGGACATCAGTGCCAACCTGCCCTTCCTGGGGCTGCCCCCCACCCCAGCCCTTCCCCTGTCTGTGCACAGAATAAGCAGAGGGTAGACCAAGGTCGGCTGGTGGCCAGCTCTGCAGGGAGAGAAACAGGATAGGGTACAGTGGGGGAGGGCTGTGTCTTCTGGTTTTATACCAGGGCTCTGCCCAGACCTCACCATGGCTATGGACGTTTGGAAGCTGCCTTGGCGGAAGAGAGGGGGAGGCTTGAGGCCGAGAGAGGAGGGGAGGAGTCCACAGCCCTGGAGGACCCGGACGGGCACAGCCAGGGCCCAGGAGCTGCCGTAGAGACAACCCCTGGAAAGGTGTCTGGACACACGTGTTACCTGGGCCTGAGCCACCTCTCCTGTTGGGCGCCCTGAGGTGGTTCAGGTGAGAGAGCTGTTGGCTGATGCCCAGCAGCCCCCTGGTCCTCTTGTTGGCTGCTGAGTGAGGCTGCTGTTGGGTGAGACCCACGCTGACATGTAGTGACCTCGGGCAGGGTGGCCCTGTGTGTCTTGGGAGCGCCATCCGCTCAGAACCCTTGGTACCTTCCGTCTGTCTGGCACGTGCGGGGCACTGGAGTCTGGAGGAGGGAAGTGGGGGCCTTGTGCTTGGTTTTGCAGGGAGAGACCACTGCAAACAGATGGTGACGACAGTGGTAAAGAGTTAGTAAATATGAGTGCAGCGGAAGGGCTTCTGGGAGATGGTGCTCCAGGCAGGCGTTTTCTCAGAAGCTGCTCTTGTGTGAGTTCGCTATCCTGGCAGAGGCACAGCTCAGGTGATGGTGTGGAGGTGGGAAGCACCTGGCCTTGCAGGGGTCAGCCAGCAGCTGGCGGCATCGTGTGTGGGAACAGAGCTGGAGGCCTGGGAGGGCAGGACCGGCTCACAGGGAGAGCGCTCAGAGTGTAGACCTACTGTGGATTCAGGGGGTAGACCCACGGTGGATTCAGAGTGTAGACTCACTGTGGATTCAGGGTGTAGAGTCACGGTGGATTCAGGGTGTAGGCTCTCTGTGGATTCAGCACGTGTGCCTACTGTGGATTCAGAGTGTAGACTCACAGTGGATTCAGGGTGTAGGCTCTCTGTGGATTCAGGCTGTAGACTCACTAAGGATTCAGGGTGTAGACCTATTGTGCACTCAGAGCATAGACCTACTGTGGGTTCAGAGTGCAGACTCACTGTGGATTCAGAGCATAGATCTACTATAGATTCAGAACACAGACTCACAATGGACTCAGAGTGTAGACCTACTGTGGGTTCAGAGTGTAGTCTCACTGTGGGTCAGAGCCACCGTGGATAGGGTCAAGTTTGAATGGGCCCTGGGGCAGCCGGTGGGGAATGTTTGGTCCTGGTGCATCTGAGGTCAGCTCAGGTTCTGAGGGCTCAGGCCTGATATGGGCATTAGATCTCACCGTCACGTACAGCTCGTTCCTCCCCGGAGCAGTGCAGAGGGGCGGCCTTGGGGCCTCGGTGCTGACCAGGCCTGGTGCCATCCTGTCCCTCAGCCACAGGCCCCTGTGGCTTCAGCACTGAGGCTCTGTGTCTGCGTGTTTTGTAGGGTTCACAGTCCACCCTGGTGGCAGGTGGGTGCTCGAGACCGGCCGCCTGTACGAAATCACCGTCGAAGTGCTTGACAAGTCCGGCAACAAGGTCTACCTGTCAGATGTGAGTCCCCCTTCGGGCCTGATGGAGTTGGGGGGTGGGGTGCCTCTCCTGGAGCAGCTGCCCAACGAGCAGCCCCCAAACACAGGGGGCCCTGAGTAGGCAGGCTGAGTTGGGGTGCTTCCTGGCGGTGCGGCTGGGTCTATGGAAGACACTGTCCTGGGACCCCTCGGGCGTCTCAAGAGCCTGTCAGCCTGTGCGTCTGCACCAGGGGCCCCGCTTCCTACAGGGCTGGAGCTGGGAGAGGAGGCCCCGGGCAGCAGGGTCGCGAAGGCGGTGCCGCAGAGGTGGCATCTGCCCGCTGCCCTCCTGCCCCTCATTAGCCCGGGGACCTCACAGCACTGCAGAGCCTCAGGGCCAGGAATACCTGCAACCTGTCCAGAAGGCCCCTTGACTGAGGCCAAGCTCAGTAGCTTCCTGGCTCTGGAAAGAACATCACAAATGGGCAGGTGGAAAGAAGTCTCGGCCGTGTTTGGTCCTTGGTGAGAAATTCCCAGGATCATGAGAATCTCCGGACCTTCCTCGTGGGGTCTGAGGTTTCAAGGAGGGGGCGAGGTTCCCCTTCAGCCTCTCTGCCGAAGCCACTGCCTTCCTTGTGTTACTAGACAAAGACTCGGCCGATCACCATTTTGGGTGAAATTCGCTCTAAGGGCTTTTGATGTCCTTTTTTGTACTTGGTGGTTTCCTTGTTGGGACCGCAGGGTCTGAGAGCCAACAGTAGCCTTCGGGCTTGCGAGCGCCAGGTCCTCGGGTCACGAGGGGAAGGCAGCCTGGGAGGGGTCAGAGGTCAGAGGCCAGAGCACTCAGAGCTCAGATCCAGGGCTTCGTGTGGTTCATCAACCTGGCCTGGCTGCTGTTTTGGGGCCACACGACTTCTTTCCTGCATCCCAACGTCCCTGAGTTGTCCTGGGAGCTCCTCTCACCTTCCTGCCTCACCTTTCAGAACATCCACATCGAAACCATGCTCCCTGCGGAGTTCTTTGAGGTTCTGGCTTCTTCCCAGAATGGGTCATACCATCATGTCAGGGCGACAAAGAGGGGCCAGACAGCCATCGACGCCGCCCTCACCTCCGTGGTGGACCAGGCAAGTTGGCACCTCCCTCGGCCCGCCCCCCCCGCCCCCCCGGGGCCTTCGCAGACGGAAACGTCAAACCAGGCTGGACGTGAGCCCGGGGGAGTAGGGACCCCAAGAGTACACTGCTGTCGTGGGTACCACGGGGGTCCCTCCTGCTCTGGGCTCACAGTGGTGTCTGGGGGTAGGGGGTTTGGCCTTTGCCTGTCCCCTGTCCCTGTGCTGGGCCAGAGCCCCTCTTCCTCTGCCCTTTGCTGGCCCCTGTAAAAGTGAGCCTGCACCTCTGAGACTGGGGGTAGAATCCCTTGTTGGGAGCAGTGTCGGGCCCATGTGTCCAGCCATGCGCTGACCAGGACCCACGAGCATCTCTTTGGCTGTTCTGGCTGCTCGGATTCTTTACAGTTTTTAAATTTCCCCCTGTATTTAAAAGGCCAGTCAGTTTCGGTGGGAGCAGATTTGACTGATTGGAAGCTTGGCCTGGGTGTTCTTATCTTCCTACCCCACACAAACCTCTCCCGGACCTGGCAGCGGCAGAAACGGCCTGTGAACCAGGCAGAGATTCCTACCAAAGGGAGGCTCCTACCGCCTCTGTTCTGGAGGTTTTGGGCAAGTTGCTGTCACGCCCCATGACTAGATTTCTCCATCCGTAAACTGTGGATAACCACGTCCATCCCGTCAGGGGTGCTGTGAGGATGCGGTCAAGCAGCATTTGAGTGGCTGTTGCAGAGCCACTAAAAGCCGTCTCTATGGAGATGGAGAAGGCTGCAGGGTACCTGGCATCTTCCTTCCCACTCCCCCACAACTGAAAAATCTACCCTGGGTACCAGTCCTCAGGGAGGGGCGGGGGCCTGCTTGAGTGCTGACCTGGTTATCATGGTGGCATATGGCACCCTCACCCCCTTGCAGGATGGAGGGGTCCACACGTTGCGGGTGCCTGTGTGGAACCAGCAGGAGGTGGAAATCCATGTCCCCATCACCCTCTATCCAAGCATCTTGACGTTTCCCTGGCAACCAAAGACGGGCGCCTACCAGTACACGATAAAGGTAACCGTGAGACCCCATCTGGGTGCATTCCTTTGGGTGTCTCCATGGAGTTGGGGTTTTACGTCCATTCTGTTTCTACTATAATTACCTTCTAGTGGTCAGGAGAGAATTCAAAATAAGAGTCTTCATGCTTTCTGTATTGTCTGAGGTTTCTATCACAGCAGCATATTTTGGTAATTAGGAAAAAACCTTGAAAAATAGTAAAGAAAGCGTGATAAAGAAAGTCCTGAACATGGATTTAACTTCCACACGTGTTTCTTTTTGTAAAAAAAATTATTGTTTTCCAGAAACAGTGTAAAGATCTTTAGAGAAAAATTTGGAATTCGAGGGGAAGGCGTCTCCAACTCTGTCACATCTAAGGTGTTCTGGGTCTTTGTTGTTCACGTGCCCACCTGGCGTTAGTGGCAGGGCCCGATGCCCGTCGGGGCTAGAGCCCATGTGGCCAGCCCCGTCCCATCAGTTTTTGCTGTCTCACGGCAGTGAGGACAGGTGTCCTGTGTGGGTACTGGGACCCACTGCCTCTTCACTCAGGTGTGTCACCTTCTTGGCCCCTCTAGGGTCCTGGGATGGCGGCCCCTGGTCTGGAAGCCTCTGGGCTGTCCTTGACTTCACGGCAGTTGACTCGAAGCGGGCAGGGGTCTATGTCAGGAGGGGGCAGGGAAGCCGAGTCCCGCACCTGGCTCTGGGGCATGGGTCTTCCCATTCCAGCCTGAGCTCGGGAGGTGCCCCTGGGTCCTGGGGCCACTGTCATGGGCATTTGCATACGCTCGTGTCAGCCACAAGGTCCCCAGAATATGAGGACCAGAAAGAGACAGGGTGGGAAGAGCGAGGGGCAGAGGCAGTGCCAGCCAGACGTTGGCTGATGCCACATGTCACCACGTTGTGGCACAATGCCGACTGCGTGTGAGAGAGGGACCAAGGGACGGGCGGGTGGGCTGACCTGATGATGATTTCCCTCCCCAGGCCCACGGTGGGAGTGGGAACTTCAGCTGGTCTTCCTCGAGCTCTGTGGTTGCCACGGTCACCGTCAAGGGCGTGATGACCACAGGCAGTGACACTGGACTCAGTGTGATCCAGGCACATGATGTGCAGAACCCGCTACATTTCGGTGAGATGAAGGTAAGACCTTGGGCCAGGTCGGCCGCGAGGAGGCTCGGGTGGTGGTCTGCAGCCACCGTCTTAACCAGCCTCAGGCTTAATTCAGAAACACCCTTTCGCCCTCGGTCTTGCACTTGGCTTTGGTGGTGGTGGTGAGGGCATCGGGTGTCAGGTCCAGCCCTGCCCCTGAGCTCATGGCCAATTCAGGGACATGGTCGTCCCATCCCACACCAGGCAGGGATGGAACCAGCTGGGTTTCTGGAAGGGAGACCAGAGGACCCAGAGACATGAGGTATTCAAAGGAGTCATTCTAGAAGATAGCCCCAACCTGAAAGCTATGAATCTCCAAGTTGGAAGGGCCACTGGGCGTAGGGTTGTAAATTCACAGTGAAGGGAAAGCTCCCAGACTCCAAGAGACTGGCCCCATTCCTTTCCTCTGACTCCTGTTCAGGTCCAAGTCGGGAGTCCCTGCACGGGGCCCCTACACCTGGTGTTCGTCCCAAGTGACGTGGGACCAACTCAGCAAAGGCCAAAGGTGGGAGTGGCCACCTGCAGCCGAGCCTCTGCCAGCCCCACCTGGTGGCCTCCGGACCCCAACTCTTTCCTGTCCGACTGACCCTGATCTCAGCCTGTTTATTACCTCATTTAGGGCTGACATGAAAGCTCCATATGTAGTGCGTCCATCCCCAACCTTCTACACTGTTTGGGACATTGACGTACAGGTTTTTCTCCTCTTTTTATTTCGATCCACACGCACCTACCTAAAGATCCATCTAACTCGTGTAAGGAGGGTTATAACTGAGACCCCTTAACTGCAGCACAATTGTCAAGTATTTGGATAATCTGTGGCCAGGTTGCCCCGTCCCTTGCCCCCAAGCTTCTTTATCGCAGTAAATGTGCCCGTCTCACCTGGCTGCTCAGCCCAGAGCCTGAGGACAGTTCCTGAGCATGTGTAGTGGTCAGAACCTGGCTTCCAGGGCCGCCTGCCTGGTCCAGACACCACCGTGCTCCAGCCGAGCAGGCTCTTAACCTCCCGTGCCAGGTTCCTCATCAGGCAGGTAGGTTGATAATAGAACCTTCTTAACAAGGAGGCTGAGAGGATGGGATGAGTTCGTTCTGTTCCTGGAACAGAGCCTGGCGTGTGAGAAGTGTGTGTGGTGTAAGTATCAGTGTTGTTGGTGATGCCCCTCTCACCCTGCACACTCACCACCTTTATGTTCCTCCAATGCGCTGAGCCGTATGTGCCTCAGGACCTTTGCACGGACTGTCTCGCCTTCCCAGCCCTTTGTCTGGCTGCCTCTGACGTGGCTCCCAGGTCTGAGCTTCTACAGCGCCTGCTCCGAGAGGCCTCTTCCCTGACAGCTCTGTCCTGAAGGTCTCCCCACCCCCAGTACACACCATCGTGTCCCCCAAGCTCAGGCCTCTCACCGATGGGTCCTCAGTGCTCATACACAGGGTCTCAGGAAAGCTGAGCAGCGGCTGTTCCTTCTCCGAGGAGCCTGTCGACAGTGCACGCCCCTGTCCTCCAGGTGTACGTGATCGAGCCCAGCGGCATGGAGTTCGCCCCGTGCCCGGTGGAGGCCAGCATGGGCCAGAGCCTGGAGCTGCCCCTGAGGATCCACGGCCTCATGCCCGGTGGGGCTGACGAGGTGGTCACGCTGAGCGACTGCTCCCACTTCGACTTGGCGGTGGAGATGGAGAACCAGGGCGTGTTCCAGCCGCTCCCAGGTAAAGCAGCACTGTGAGTGGCCGCCGGACGGCAGGGTTGGGGCCGACGGCCTGGGTTCTCAGCGTGGGCTGCCCCAGATTCCTAATTCAGTGGCTGAACCAGCAGCACGGTCATAGCCTGAGAAATGGCATTTGTCCCTTTGTCCACCATCAGCAGTGGTCTGGTCTGGATCTTACTGCCATGTGATTGCATGTCACTTGGCTTTCTGAGCCTCAGCTTCCACATCTCTAAAACGGGTGTCATCCGAAGTAGAAGCGCATGTCACCATGCCCGTTGCAGTGCCTGGAATGTGACAGGTGCTCAGGATACACTGCCAATAGGGGTTCTGACGGGTTACAGAATTATAACACCTTAGTGACTGCACGGTCCATCCCTCCAGGGCCATCGAAGCCAAGCACCCCCTGCAAGGCTGGGCAGTGATATCGGTGGTGATGGTGGCAGCTGTGCTCAGCCACCGTCTTATAGGGTGTCAACCCTTCCGGGCGTGGCACGTGCACTTGGCGTGCGTGACCTCACCAGGCGTCACAGCCACTGTGGGAGGAGGGGCTGTGGTTGGGTCACGTGTCAGACGAAGAGACTGAGGCTGCGTCGCACTGCCCAAGGTCCCGTGAGGTTCCCGGGCCACGAGGGATATGGAGCTGGGTGTGTCCGACACTGACCCTGCATCCTTAGTCCCCCGGGAAGCAGGGCCTCCCAGGGGAATCAACCCAGGGAATGCTCTCCGATTGCAGATGATGAAAACCAAGGACTGATGGTGAGTATGCTCTGGGCAGGGTTAGAGTGGGCGGGGAGCAGCGTTCGCGGGCACACACGTGGGGTGTGTGTGCACACAGTGGCCTGGAGTGTCAGAACCTGTCGAATCCGGAATCACGGGGGGCTTGAGGGGGCATGGACCTCAGGGGCCAGAAGTGGGGGCCACCGCTGGTTTTGGAGCAGAGGAGTGACCACGTGATGCTGGCAGAGTTCAGGAAGCTTGACAGCAGAGGTGTTTGTAGGCTTGCCTGTGGGACCGAGCAGCTTTCCACGCCGCCACCGTGGTTGTCGGCACTCACAGAGCCGTTTGAGTGTGAAGCTGCTCAGACGACACAGAACGTCCCTGGACATCATCACATTCACATCCTTCCCTGGAGGTGCTGCTGCATCCTCTCTGACTGTCCAGGAGAAACCGGACTTTATGGACTGTGTCCCCAGTGAGGCCATCGTTTAGGGTGGAAGGAAACATCAGTGTGGGAGAGAGAGGCCCACCAGTGGCAGGAGAGGAGCCTACTGCTTGCACCGCCCCCCCCACGCGCATCCTGGAGGGGCGTCCACAGGCTGCAGCCAGGAGGTCCCAGGAATAAAGGATAATGGACAGGGTTTGGGTTCCACAGTCCTAGGTCCCAGCTCTGCATGTATCAGAATTCCTGGCGTGCTCTGCTCCAGATCTGTGCGTTTCACCTGTGTAAATTTGACCTTAAGAGAAAAAGAACCCTAAAGAAATACTGACCTGCAGATAATTATGTGTGTGCGAAAGCGTTTAGGATGAAGTGCACTGATGCCTGCGGCTCATTTTTTGTTTTTTCTTTAAGATTTTTTTGATGTCGACCATTTTTTTAAAGTCTTTATTCAATTTGTTACAATATTGCTTCTGTTTTATGTTTTGGTTTTTTGCCCATGAGGCACGTGGGATCTTAGCTCCCCGACCAAGGATCGAACCTGCACCCCCTGAATTGGAAGGCGAAGTCTCAACCACTGGACTGCCAGGGAAGTCCCACGGCTCACTTTTCGAGGCATGAGAAAGTGGGATGGACTGATGGATGGGAAGGTGGTGGATAGATATGCAGCAGAGAAACAGAAACAGATGTTAGCTGCAGAATCTAGGGGACAGGCTTGCGGAGCTTCACAGCATGATTTCTTTCTAAATGTTTGGAAAGAAAACTATAAAATTCCACCAGAATGGCATTTTTTAAACAGGTGGAAGATACCAAGTATTGGCAGGGATGTAGTGCCACTGTGAGTAGCAGCGTGACTCGACACAGCCATTTTGGGAAGGATAGTTGGCAAAAGTGACGAAAGCTGAACATATGTGCTAAGGACCGGAAGTGAAATCCTGCACTCCTTGGGACACACCCGACAGAAATGCTGAAATACGCCCCCCAAAGAAACGCCACACGTGCTCAGAGCAGCACGATGCATCCCTCATGGCCCCACGTGGCCCCGGGAGTGTCGCCAGGCTCCTGGCTCCGCGCCTCTTGCTCTGCATTTAAATGCGGGGAGTGCGGTCTGCCCTTCCTCCGCCGTCCAAAAGGGGTCACACTGGGCTCACTTTGTTGTGACGCTTCTTGCCGGGCAGCCTGAAACGTAGATGCCTTCCGATAAAGTTCAAAGACTCTCCCAGCCACCCGCTGCCGGTTCTGGCTGCCAGAGGGCAAGGCTGGGGTCCCAGCGTCAGGGTGCCCAGGAGGGTCCCGCCCTGGGGGCGTGCGGCTTTCTCTGAGGCTCCAGTGTGGCAGCTGGTGCTGTGGGGGGAGGGGAGGCCCCGGGCCCTGCCACAGGGCTGGGCTGGAGGTGGTGTTCCTCGCCTCCAGGCTGGCTGGGGGACCGGCGGGCTCTCTGGCCTCTGCCCTGACTCCTGGCGCTCCTCAGGCCGCCCACTTTGTCCCCGTGTAGCCGCTTGGGGACGCGAGGCTCCTCTGCCCACGAACTCACGCCGGGGCCCAAGTCTGCAGCTGTCGTGTCCATCTCATCCTCAGAGAGGAGGTATCCTGGCTCAGGTCCCAGGCTCAATCCCCTCCTGGTGGCCGTGCTGCAGGGCGGAGACCAGCTGCCCATGTGCCCCGGGCCTCCGTCTGTCCTGCGGCCGTGGTCCTGTAAACGGTCCAACAGGTCTCCTCTGGTCAGTCACCTCGGATAACTTTGTGATGCTGGGTGATTTAAAACCTTCATGCTGTGGACTTCGTGGAAAAGTGCCTGGAGGCTGGAGGAGCTCTGCTGAGTTAACTTAACGACCCTGATGGCCATCTGGGCCAATGTCACCTTGGCGAAGCTACCTCGGCCAGTGGTCCTGAGGAGCCTGGAACAGTCCATACGAGCCTCCTTGTCAGCAGGGAGGCTTCAGTGAGGCCCTGCACCATGGTCACCTGCTAACTACACTAACTGGCAATATTAACTAACAACGCTAACTATACTTACCATGCTAATAAATACTAACTACACTAACTATGCTAGCTATACCAACAATTCTAACTATACTAAAATACTAAGAAAAATATTTAAGATAAAATGAGAAAAAGAACAAAGAAAATTTTTAAAAAAGAAAATAAAGAAAAATAAAAGAGTAGAGGAAAAATGAAAAATATAAACAAAATGGGGGGGCTGAGTGGAAAAAGCCAACTCTGGGTCCAAGGCTATCAGGTCACCAAAGGCAGCTTCCTGGGCTATAAGGACCAAAAACCTGGGTCTATCAGGGACTTATATAGGTTTTCTGTAAATACATCACAGTGGCACCTTATGAGGTCAGAGCAAGAAACGGACCAGTCACAGATGGGGATAAACTACAGTGGTTTTCTCACTGATTGGTCTCAAGACCCCTTTAGTCTTAAAATAAAAGGACGTAAAGAGCTTTTTGTTTATGTGGGTTATTAGAGATTGATATATACTTTATTCGAAATTAAAACTGTAGGATAATTCAGTGCCTTTTCATTTCTAGTTTGAAAATGTGTAATAATTTTGGCTTTTAAAGACCTTATAATATCAACACTTGAAATGTTGAATTCCTTTTCCTTAAACTCTGGTCTTAAAATAATACTACAACTCAACTGACATCATGACACTATAGGAAAATGCTCTGTTGCATAAGGCACGATAAGATAAGTATCTTTATTATTTTTGTTATTATGTCAAATACGTAGTATTTGAAAACCTGGGATGTTGAGAGGTGATTCCAGACTTCGCCTTGTGGAGCTCACAATCCAACTAACCCACACAGAAGAAACAATTAGAATAGAATTTAAATAGGAATTCATTGGCCCCAAATTTTCCTTTGTGCTATGTATTTTTTTGAAAAAGCCTTACTGGCACAAGGATAGAGGCAAGAAAATAACAGGAGGAATATTTAGTCTCTTTGGGAGTTAAAGGAAAGTACTATTGAAGGGCTTTTAAAACAACCCAAAGACACCTACTTACCTACAAAGAATTGATGTTCTAATTACAAATGATTATTATCTATTCCAGCGGCTCACCGAGCAGTCCAGTAAGACAAAGTGAACAATTTTGCTGGTCCGGAAAATACTGGAGTCTGGAAACAATTGATCTAGGGATTAAAAGAGGAAAACACAAATGCCTTCTGTTTGCCTAGCTCTCTGCGATGATTCCTATAACAAGTAACTCAGCAAGGACCGCTTGGCTTGAGCAAAGCTAGACCTGGAATCCAGGTGTTCTCTGTGTGGTCCTTCCTGCTACACCTGTGGGCCATCCCTGCGCAATTAAAGAGCGATTCTTCACAAAAAAAAAAAAGGGGAATTCATTTACTATCAATTCTAAGAACTGTCGGCTCCAGGAAGTAATGCATATGAAGAAACTGCATGGAAGACGAGTAGAGACCTGGCCTGGGTGTGAAGGTACATTGTTAGCATCTGTAGAGCTGAGAGAAAGTTAGGGGGTTTTTTGTTTTTTTTGTTTTTGTTTTTTTTGTGGTATGCGGGCCTCTCACTGTTATGGCCTCTCCCGTTGCGGAGCACAGGCTCTGGACGCACAGGCTCAGCAGCCATGGCTCACGGGCCCAGCCGCTCTGCGGCATGTGGGATCTTCCCGGACCGGGGCACAAGCCTGTGTCCCCTGCATCGGCAGGTGGACTCTCAACCACTGCGCCACCAGGGAAGCCCGAGGAAGTTAGTTTTCATCTGATTTTCTCCAGTAAGATCAGATTTCTCATCAGAAACCTTGGAGGCCAGACGGCGTGGGCTTGATGTATTCAAAGTGTTGAAGGAAAAAAGCTGTCAACCAAGAATCCTATATCTGGCAAAGCTGTCCTTCAAAACTGAGGGAGAAATTTAGACTTTCCCAGATCAACCAAAGCTGAGCGACCTTTACCACCAGACCTGGGTGCAACGAGGGGCATCCTTCAGGTTGAAATGAAGGACAAAGCCCTGTGAAGAAATTAAGTAAATACACAGATGATTAGAAAAGCTGGTGCTATTGTAACTTCAGTTGGTAGCTCCACTTTTTGTTTTCTGCTTGATTTAAGAGACTAATGTAGTTTCAAAAAACACAGTCTGTTTTTGGACACATGCTGCATAAAGGTGTAATTCTGTGACATCAGTAACTGAAAGGGGGTGGGGTCAGAGCTGTACAGGAGCAGAGTTTTTATGTTATTGAAGTTACGCTGGTGTAAATTGGCATTAGACCATTATAACTTTAGGATGTTAAATATAATCCTATGGTAACCAGAAAGAAAATAGCCATAGAATGTACACAATAGGAAATGAGAAGGGCAGTAAAATGATTCACTACAAAAAATCAGCTAAGAGCAAAAGAAGATGGCCATGCAGGAAATGAGGAACAAAAGAGCCAGAAGGCATGTAGAAAACAAACAGCAGAGTAAAAGAAATGTCTTTAGTAATTATTTTAACTGTAAATGGATTAAATTCTCCAAACAAAAGGCAGATTAGTAGAATGGATAAAAATGTATGATCCGCGCCATGCTATCTATAAGAGACTCATTTTAGTTCCAAAGACACAAAAAAGTTGGGACTTCCCTGGTGGCGCAGTGGTTAAGTATCTGCCTGCCAATGCAGGGGACACGGGTTCCAGCCCTGGTCCGGGAAGATCCCACATGCCGCGGAGCAACTAAGCCCGTGCGCCACAACTACTGAGCCTGTGCTGTACAGCTCGTGAGCCACAACTACTGAAGCCTGTGTGGCTAGAGCCTGTGCTTCTCAGCAAGAGGAGCCACCGCAATGAGAAGCCCACGCATCACAACGAAGAGCAGCCCCGCTCGCCACAAGTAGAGAAAGCCCGCGTGCAGCAATGAACGCCCAATGCAGCCAAAAAGAAAAAATAAATTAAAAAAAAAGACACAAAATTTGAACATGAAAGGACTGAAAAAGACAGTCCATGCCATGCAAACAGTAACCATAAGAGAGCCTGTTGGTTATACTAACCTCAGACAAATAGACTTTAAGTCAGAAATTGTTACAGCAGACAAAACGCTGTATATTCAGTATGGCTGGAAGATAAAACTAAACATGACAGATCATCAAGATATATGAAGCAAAAATGGGCATAAGTGAGGGAGAAATAGTCGGTTCTAAATAATAGTTGGAGCCTTCAATACCCCACTCTCAGGGATGGATAGAACAACCACACAGAGGATGAGCAAGGAAGTAGAGGACTTGAACAACACAGTGAACCAACCAGATCTAAGACACATGCGACCCCACCCACCAACACAGCACACAAGTGTGCGTGGGGCCTTCTCCAGGACAGACCACCTGTTAGAGTACAACTTATGTCTTAGTAGATTTTCAAAGATAGATATCATACAAGGTATCTTCTCCAACCACAGTGGGATGAAGTTAGAAATCAGTAACAGAGGAAAAGTGGGAAATTCACAAATGTGTGGAAATTACATAACATACTCATAAAGAACAATTTTGTCAAAGAATCACAAGGGGAATTAGAAATTACTTAGAGATGAAGGAAAACGAAACAGGACGTACCAGACTTAGGGACACAGCAGAACAGTGCTAAGAGGGTAATTTATAGCTATAAGTGCTTACACTGCAAAACAAGATCTCAAATCAATAACCTCACTTTGTACAGCTTAGAAAACTAGAAGAAGAATGAATGAATTAAACCCAAAGCTAGCAGAAGGCAGCTGACAATAAAAATTAGAGCAGAGATAAAACAGAGAATAGGAAAGCAATAGAGAAAATCAACAAAACCCAAAGTTGGTGCTTTGGAAAGATTAGCAAAGTTGGCAGCCTGTTAGCTAGACTGACTAAGAAAAAAAGAGGAGACAAACTATTAAAATAGAAGTGAACGTGGAGACATTATCCGTGGCTGTGGAGAAATAAAAAGGATTATGAACAATTGTACCCTAACGAATTGGATAACCTGGATAATACAACAAATACAAAACCTGCCTAGACCGAGTCACAAAGAAATAGAAAATCTGGATAGACTCATTACTAGGAAGGTGACGGCATCAGTAATCAAAAGCTTCCTGACAAAGTCCTTGGACCTGATGGCTTCACAGGTGAATTAAAGAGCTAACACTTATCCTTCTGCTAAAAAATTAGAGGAAGATCCCACATGCCGCGGAGCAGCTAAGCCCGTGCGTCACAACTACTGAGCCTGCGCTCTAGAGCCCACGAGCCACAACTACTGAGCCCGTGCGCCACAACTACTGAAGCCCAGGCGTCCAGAGCCGGTGCTTCGCAACAAGAGAAGCCACTGCAAGGAGAAGCCTGCACACCACAACGAAGAGTAGCCCCCACTCGCCGCAACTAGAGAAAGCCCGTGCACAGCAACGGAGACCCAGTGCAGCCATAAATAAATAAATAAATAAATTTATAGGATGTATAAAGAACTCCTACAAGTTGACAATAATAAAACAAATAAGCTAATGAAAAAAATGGAAGAAGAATTTGAATAGACATTGCTCTAAAGATGATATACAAATGGCCAACCAGTATATGAAAAGATCATCTCTAATCATGATATAAATTCAGCATCTCTAATGATGATATAAATTCAAATTAAGACCACAGTGAGATACCACCTAAACCCATTTAGGATGGCTCCTAGCAAAAAGACGGAAAAAAAACAAGTGTTGCTGAGGATGTGGAGATATTTAAAACCCTTGTGCTCTGTTGGTGGGAATGTAAAATGGTGCAGCCACTGTGGAAAACAGTATGGAGGATCATGAAAAAATTAAACATTGGGGACTTCCCCGGTGGTCCAGTGGTAGAGAATCCGCCTTCCAACGCAGGCGACGCGAGTTCGATCCGGGGAAGTAAGATCCCATATGCCCTGGGGCAACTAAGCCCGCATGCCATGACTACTGAGCTCGCGGGCCTCAATGAGAGAGCCCGCATGCCACAAACTACAGAGCCCATGTGCCCTGGAGCCCGGTGCCACAACTAGAGAGAGAAAACCCACGTGCCACGACTAGAGAGAGAAGCCCTCACGCCACAACTAGAGAGAAGCCTGCATGCCACAATGAAAGATCCCACGTGCCTCAACGAAGATGCCGTGTGCCAAAACCAAGACCTGATGCAGGCAAAAAAATAAAGAAAAAGACAGTAAACATGGAACTGCTATATGATCCAGCAGTCCCATTTCTGGGTATATACCCAAAATAATTGCAAGCAGAATCTTGATGAAATACTTGTATGTCCATGTTTATAGCAGCATTAATTCATATAGACAGAGAGTAGAATGGTGGTTGCCAGGGGCTAGAGGGGATGAGGGTTGAGAAGTTATATTTAATGGGTTCAGAGTTTCAGTTTTGCGAGATGAGAAGTGGTCTGGAGATGGGTGGTGGTTCACAACAGTGTGAATGTACCTAATGCCACTGAACTGGAAACGTTGTTACCATGGTAAAAGTTTATGTTAATGCCTATTTTACCAGAATTTTTTTTAATTAATGAAAGATGGACAATATTTACCAAGGATTGGCAGGGTTGTTTCACAGCCACTAGAGGCAGCGTAAGTCCATCAGCCATTTTGGGAAAGGTAATTGGCGATAATGAGGGAAGCTGAGCACACACTCCCATTATCTGCACTCCCACTCCTCGGGGTGCACCCCTCCAAAGAGGTGAATACGTCCCCAAAGAAACACGCACACACGCGCACAGCAGCGCGACTCGTCACAGCCCCGCGTGGTCCTTGTAGCATGGAGAAACCGCTGTCTGTTCACACGGCAGCATAACGCACAAATGTGAATGGAAGATCTACAGCGTGCGAAACATAAGGTGGAATCTCACCGCCAGTGTTGAGTTGAAGGGGGCAGGTACCAAGGCGGTTCCCTTCTCATGGAGTCCAGAGCCAGCAGAATTCAGCTGTGCTCTTAAAAGTCAGTGAACAGTGGTTTTCCTCTGGGGTGGGGCTCCTGACCAGAAGAGTCCACAGGAGATCCCAGGGGTAGTGTGCAGGTCATACTGTTTCTTGATCCTGGTCCTGGAAACTGAGCGTGTTCAGCTTGTGGGGGAAAAATTGTGAGTTGTGTGCTTACAATGTGTCATGTGCTCTTTGGTATGGTAATTATACTTTAAAATGGTAAGTTAAAAAGATTCGTTTCAAGCCCAGGATGGAAGAGGGTGGTCAGCCTGTCCTGTCTTTCCCGGCAGAGGCAAGGTCTCAGTGACCTCGTGGTTCTCTTGTTGCAGGGAGGCTGCGGCCGGGGCCTGAGCACTGCAGTGGTGTCACGGTGAGGGCAGAGGCCCAGGGCTATACCGCGCTCCTCGTGAGCTACAAGCACGGCCACATCCACCTGAGCGCCCGCATCACCATTGCCTCCTACCTGCCCCTCAAGGTGAGCCCCAGCCCTACCCTCCCCCGCTTCCCTGATGCAAATTATCCATCTGCTCTGGTGAATGTGTGTTAAAACACTGATTGTTCAGAATAGCTTTGGGGACAGCTACAGAGGTGATTGTCAAGCTGAAATCAGGAGTATGGAACAGGGGCTGGGCCTCCCTGGTGGCAGACAGTGAGTGCCGACATCCTTGTGGATGAAATGATTCCCACACGGATCGGGACAGAGGGGCTCCTGGTCCAGTAGAGACTCACCCTGCAGGGTCTCCACAGAACCCTGGGGTGGGGACAATGGCCCTGGCACGTGGTGCAGATTCTGGGGCCTCGGGGCCTGGGTGAGGTCTGAATGTGCCCCTCACCTGATGCCAGGTAACCGTCAGCGTCTGGGTCCCCCGTGCGTCTCCGTGCAGAAGACATTTAGCGTGTTCCTACTCAGAGCATGCTGCCTTTGTTTGACACCAACTCCCGAGTTTCAATCCAGGTCCAGCACCAACTCTGTGACTTTGGCTGATGTAATTTCCCTGGGCCTCAGTTTCCCTGCCTGTAAATGGGACTAATACAGCATGTGCCTCCCAGGGTTGTGGTGACGATGAGCTGAGCTCACGAACCAAGTGGGCTGAGAACCGTCCCTAGGAGGTACTGAGCGCTCGGTAAGGGTTAGCTGTTACTGTGTGAACAAGGAAGACCTGGCCCTTCCTCCAGGGTGCGGCCAGGCAGCCTTGCTCGGGAGGCCCGGGGAGCGTGGGCCTGCCCCTCCTGTGGGGCGGGCCTCCCAGGCTGGGCCAGTCAGCACTTGCATTTCCCGGGCACCAGTCCCAGCCACTAGGATAGCTCTGGTCCCCTTGATTTGGGATGCATTTTCTTCTCCCCCTCAGCCATTAGAAGCAAGCTCAGTGGCATAAGAATTCTTCATCGCTGCACCCCTGGCCCTGGGCATACTGCCTGATACAGAGCAGACGACAACCAAGGGTTGTTTTGGATTTCTTATTGAGATATTATTGGCATATAACCTTGTGTTAGTTTCCTTAGTACAACAGAGTGATTCAGTATTTGTATCTATTGTGAAATGGTCACCACAATAAGTCTAGTTAACATCCATCACCATGCATTGTTACAAATTTTGTGTGTGTGTGATGAGAACTTTTAAGATCTACCCTCTTAGCAGCTTTTCAAATATGCAGCAGGGTGTTATTAGCTATAGTCACCACGCTGTACCTCACATCCCCAGGACTCACTTATTTTGTAATTGGAAGTTTGTACTTTTTGACCACTTTCACCCCCAATTCCTGCCTCTGGCAGCCACCAGTCTGTTCTCTGTTTCTATGAGTTTGTGGTTTTTGTTTTTTTGTTTCTAGATTGCATTTATAAGTGAGATCATAAGGTATTTGTCTTTGTCTGTCTTGGTTTATTTCACTTAGTGTGATACCCTCAAGGTCCATCCATGTTGTTGCAAATGGCAGAATTTCCTTCTTTTTATGGGTGAATAATATTCTATTATATCTATATCTATATATCTATATCTATCTATATATATAAATGTCACATCTTCTTTATTCATTCATCCATTAATGGGCATTTAAGTTGTTTCCATATCTTGGCTATTGTAAATCACGCTGCTATGAACATGGGGTACAGATTTCCTTTAAAGTAAGTGTTTTTCTTTCCTTCGGATAAATGCCCATAAGTATTTATGGGAATTGCTGGGTCATGTGGTAGTTCTGTTTTTAATTTTTTGAGAAGAGTTGTTTAATTTAGAAGGAATGAGTGGGGAGATGTGTCCAGGGTTATCTAGCTAGGGCTGAATCCAAGGTCTCCTGATCCCCCAAACCAAAATATATATGAATACCTACTCATAGGTGCCAGTCCCTGCTCTAAACGTTAGGGGTACAACAGTGCAAAAAACCACACAGAAATCCTTTTCCTCATGAGCTGACATTGTGGCAGAGACAGAGGTAGAGACAGACAGTAAATAAACTAGTTAGTAATGTATTTTGTATATGCATGGCATGGAAAAAGTAAAGCGTTGAAAGGGTGACAGGGAGGGCAGAGGAAGGAAAGATGGCAGCATAAAATTGAAAGGTCAAGATCCTCTCACTGATCAGGACCCTGGAGGTGAGAGGGCTCAGGGAGCAGGGCTGAGAGAAAACTAAAATCCCTAAGATGGCAGCAGTCATCCTGGGGAGGCCCTGCCACAGCCAGCCGTGTGACGGAGCCTGGGTAGGAGGTTCTTCAGGACCCCTCCTGGGTGCTTGTCCAGGTGACCACATGGTCTGATTATCTGGGTGTTTGGTGGAGCGTCAGGGGCCAACCCCTGAGCTCACTGTCCCAAGCTGGGATATAAGGATGAAGAGAAGGTGGACATGTCCCCAATAAAGGTGGCTTCCTGACTGGAGAAATTATAGGGAAAAGAACAGGATATGTATCTCTTCTCTCATCTTTCTTGTGCCTTGATATCTGTTAAGAATAGGTGTATTTGCAAGTAACAAAACGCAAAATAACAGTGGCTTAGTGAACAGAGAGTTTATTCCTCTTTCACATGAGAGGTTTCACACAGGTCTAGTGTAGCAGCTCTGTAGTCATCAGGGACCCAGGTTTCTGTCTTTCTACTTCATCATCCTAATATGTGGATTTCATCCTCAAAGTTGCCTCATGCTCTGAAGTGGCTGCTGGAGCTGCAGCTGTCACATCTGCATTCCATATAGCCAGAAGGGGAAAGAGCTCATCTCTGAGCCGAGTTAGTTTCCTGTAGTAGCCTTGTCAGAAGTTTAAAAGAGCAGCTTCCACCTGCACCTCATTGGCCGGAACTTAACCTGCTGGCCACAACTGGCTGTAAGAGACTAGGGAGTCATTTCAGCTAGGCAATTTACCCCCCTAATAAAATGGACGTTCTTTCTCTGAGGAAGAGAGGAGTGTGGAGACTGGAAAGGCAGCTAACAGTTCTTGTCCAGCCTGTGCTTGCCAGTTCACTCTGCAGACAGTTCCTGGTGCTCTGTTAGTACAAGGCTCAGGGTGGGGAGACAGATCTAGGGAAACATCTCACCCTCTGTGCCCTGGGAGGCTGCCCATCTGTGAGGAATGCAGGCATGCAGACAAACACAGTGAGTGTAGTAGAGGTAACGAAGAGTCCCTTGGGCACAGGTCACCTATGAACGCAGAAGCAGAAGGAGAGTGTGAAGGCAGGAAGCTCGGCTGGTGGAGCACCAGAAGGAGTGTGTGTATCTCAGGGTGAGGCATGAGACCGTGGAGGCTCCCTGGGTCAGGTCGAGCGAGGGTTTTGATGCGTTAGGAGCTGGATGTTCTCATGCGGCAGTGGGCGGCGGGTGAGGTCAGGGAAGGACAGTCACACCCATGAGACCCCTGCTGCTGACGGGGAGGGTGAGTGGCTGTGTCTTGGAAGCACATTGTAAGGACGCCCCCCATTGGCAGAAGAAAGACCCTCCCCAGATCTTCCAAGTGCCACTCGCCAGCGCCCCCCCCCGCAGCCCGACTTAACCTGCAACCTCTTCTGTCTAATTGGCCCGCAGACAGAGGGGGGCTGTCTTGCCGGTTCTCTTAACTCCCTTCACGGCCAACACACCACTTCCTCTTCAGCCTGGTTGGCTGCAGCAGTTTGGGGTACAGTGTCACTCCACCTGCGGGTTACCCTTTGGGGGCCTGGAGTGCCAGGGTCTGGGGTCCCTGCCTGGCTCCTTCATCCCGGTGATATCAGCGTGGGCTGTGCACCCTGGAGCCTCTGGGTCAGCCAGGTGCCAGGGCGGCAGGGGGGACTGTCACCTCTGACTGCCCCTCCCCTCCCCTCTCCTTTTCTCTGGATCCTGGACTGAGGCGGGTAGTCCATCTCCTGGAAACGCAGACTGCTGGTGCTAAGGGCCTCTTGATGACCAGACGCCCTCCTGTTTTGCAAACCAGGAAATTGAGTCCCTGAGAGAGAAGGTCTCGACTGCGATACAGGGCCCCTCCTCTCCTGCTTGGCCTGTTCTGGTATCTGTGTGTCGACGCCCCCAGTACGATTTATCAGTGTCATTCATTAGCCATGCTGATTATTAACCTATCTCCCTGGCACATGGTTCGGTGACACTTTTATGCCTCGATGGGAAGAGAATTACACAGCAAGGTGATAATTGATCATTCTCCAGCTTTAATTATAGGACATGTGGTACTTTTGCACAGTCTTTCCTGTTGGGCTGGTCAGGAAGAAATCCTCCTGCAAGGTTTACAGTGACCTACTTTGTCCATAGCAGAGCTGTTCTGGTTGTGGTGATGAGACGGGTGAGAGCAGGGCATCTGGAGTCAGAAGAGATCCGGGCCCGCCAGCTGGGTGAACTTGGACGAGTTGCTTCTGCTTGCTGGGCCTCACTCTTTCACTCTG